CAAGTGACAGCTGCTGCCGAGGAGACCATCGGGCGCCCAAAATGTTAACGGCCTGATTGGTTTGATGAGAACAATGTGACGATTGGCGCATTGGTGTCAGAGAAGAATGCAGCATTTGCTGCACATGTGGCAGACCCCAGTGACTTGGGGAAGACGAGTCAGTTTCGAAAACTTCGGCGGCGACTAACTAGAGAATTCCGTCGCATTGAAAATGCATGGTGGACGGAGAAGGCGAGGCAGATGGAATGCTACGCCGAACGCCGTCAACACAAGGAATTCTTTGACTCCTTGAAGGCGGTGTATGGACCGAGATTGGAGCCGCTGAGGACACTGATCGATGGTAGTTCAGGCGCTACCTGCACACAGACTGCAGACATAAGGCAGATCTGGCAGAAACACTTTGATCGCCTCTTGAAAAACCGTTCAGAGATCGTCTGGCCTACATTGAACGGCCTGAAGCAGCACGATGTGAAGGCGAATCTGGCGGATACGCCGACCCTGGATGAGACGCAGAGAGCACTTGCTCAGCTGCGAAACGGCAAGTGTGCCTGGGCCGACGGGATCCAGCCTGAAGTATTGAAACACGGTGGACCCGCGTTGTTGACTGCGCTGCAACACTTGGTGCAACGTGTATGGATTGAGGAGAAGGTGCCTCCTGAGCTGAAGATGCCCTTGTGCTACCACAGTACAAGGGTAAAGGTAGCAAGCAGTGTTGCACGAATTATCGTGGAAGCAACTTGCTGAGTTGTGTGGGCAAGGTGATTGCCCGAATCCTGCTCAATCGCCTCGTGAGTCAGGTTGTGGAACCTAACGTGGCGGAAGAGCAATGTGGATTCCGTTTGGTCGCAGCCCTATAGATATGGTGTTTGCGGCTCTTCAGTTGCAGGAGAAGTGCAGAGAACGACACCAGCCATTGTACTCACTTTTGTTGATTTCACCAAAGCATTTTAGGCGGTTAACCGCGAGGCATTGTGGCTGGTGTTGGGTAAGTTTGGTTGCCCGCGTAAGTTTTTATGTTTAATTGGATGTCTGCACAGTGGTATGCGAGCGAGGGTGCAGCTGAATGGAGAGACTTCGGATGACTTTGAAGTTGTCTCTGGTGTGAAGCAAGGCTGTGTCTTAGCTCCTGCCCTGTTTAATATCTATCCTCATGCCATGATGTCTTGTGCTTTTGATGCGGCTTGTGCTTACGGTGTTCGTGTGGAGCACCGTATTGATGGTGGGTTGCTGAACATCCGTCGTTTCGGTGCGAGAACTCTAGTCTGTGAGACAACTATCCGTATGTTGCTGTTTGCTGACGACTGTGCGTTGTTTTCACACAGCGCGGATGAGTTGCAGCACATGGCAAGTGCTCTGGCTTCGACAACGGCCAAATTCGGGCTCACCATCAACACAAGCTAAACTGTCTGTCTCTTTCAGCCTTCACCGGAGGTGCAATCTTCAATATTGCCGCGAATCAGCATTGGTGCTGAAGTATTGGAAACCACCTCCCAGTTCTGCTACGTTGAGAGTGTGATATCGACTGACCAACAGCTACATAGTGAGCTGCGTATCCGCGTACCGAAGGCAGCGGCGGCACTCGGGAAGCCAAATTACCGAGTGGGGAACAACCATCAGCTTACCATTGGCACGAAGCTGATGGTGTACAAATCCATGGTGCTGTCCGTTCTTCTATACAGCAGTGAAATGTGAATGATATACTGGCGCGATATGCATCATCTGGAGCGGTTCCATCAACAGGGTTTGCGACGTATTTTGCGCATCGGAAGGGGCGACCGAGTTGCAGACACGGAAGTGTTGCGCCGAAGTGGGATGTATGCAGTGGACTGCATACTTTTGCTGAGATACCTGAGGTGGCTCGGTCATGTGTGGCGTATGGATTTGACGCGAATACCGAAGCAGATATTATATGGTCAGCTGAGTATTGGGAAGCGGCATGTGGGGAAACCAAATTTACGTTACCAGGACATGATTAAAGTGAGCCTCACACGTTCTAATCTTGATTGCAGCTCATGGGAATCGAAGGCAGTTGATCGGCGTTCATGGCGCTTTCTGATCAGGAAGACTGTTGTCGAAGTTCGGGAGAAAGGCCTCATACATGCAGAGAAGGAGCGGCAAGTGCGGAGGCGGCAAGCACCAATGGGTTGTTCTCCATCGACATCGAGCGCATTGTGCTGTAGAACATGCGGTCGCAAATGCCTTAGTCAGGCAGGCTTAGTGAGCCATGTGCGATTCCATTAGGGACCACCACCGAAGCGACGACGGGTCCTTCAGATAATATAAGCAGAAGCGGCACAACGCTTGTAAGTATGCATCATTCAATTTACTAACCGCGTGCTTGCTTACTGAGTCTTTTTACTTCAGGTGGTCGGTTCGAAATATAGCTCTAATGCTTTTCTTTCTCATATTAAGCTCTACCTGTACTATCTTCTATAAACTTGCACACCTCGCTGAAGCAAATTGTAGCTAATTTCGGAAACATTTTCGAGTTTGTGGCATTTTCTTAAAATATATGCTCTGGCCTCGAACTTATTACGGATTCGTTTGTAATCAACTTATTTTATACGCCCAATAAATGAAGCTTTATGTCTCCGTATCTGTATGCATTATCTGATTTATTTTATTTCATCTTGTCGTTTCAAGTGATTGGCTGTTACTTGATGTTCCCGATGTGGCTGCGCTTGATGTACATGTTGACAAGGTGCCTACCTGTCTATTAGTCACCACCCCGTCTATGCTGGCTCTAGGAGACAGTTGGTCGTTGCTGGAGGGGACGGGGTGCACGGTTCTTGTGGCCGTGTTAGGATCAAAGAATGGTTCCATACACTCAGTGTGGAGCGCACAACGGTCCAGCCACCACGCCTTGTGTGCACTTGATTCCCAAATACAGTGTGTTTGTGTTTGCCTGTGAAGGAGTGTGGGCCTGCTCTGTTGATGAAACTTGGCTCCAATCCACATGCCTCCCGGTCTTATTGCTTCGGGTTTACACTGGATATGGGTGTGTGGTTGGAGCTGTGAGTGGTGCAGCACAAGCTGCCCATGGTCCCTCTGTAGGCGCAGACGTCCTGTGGATGACCACACTTACAGGCAAATCCAAAACCGGATGCCGCCAGCCATATATATATATATATATATATATATATATATATATATATGTATATATATATATCACGATGGTAATTCCTCCCTTAGTTCGAATCTATGCATATTTAACGCAAAAGTTAAGCGCCAAGATTTGCCATTCACTTGCGCCTTCTTATAGTTATGTGATATTTCTTTGGCCAGGTGGAATATTTTTGTATTAATGTCGAACAGCAAAAGGCAGAAGCTAAAGTTATTTGTTTTGAAAAAAAACATCACTGTTAAGTCTTTTCTGATCTAAGGCGTCAGCAGTACGTCAGGTGTCACCAGACCACTAATGATCATGCAAGCGATGGATACACCGCAAGTTCGCTCGCACCTACGCGTATTCGAACGGGTGACCTCTGGCGTAAAATACCTCAGAGCGATACTTACCGGCACCGATCGATTTTTCAAATGTAGATGCTATTATACTCACGCCACTGGTCAATCCTATGTGTCAAGGTATTGCTTTTAGTCTTATTGTGGACTTCTATTCGCATAAAAATGGGTTTTGCTCTGATCTTTAGATAATATTTGGAAAACGCAACAGACCATGAATATGGTGTTTACCGCAACGAAATCCCAACCACTTAATGACGCTACAATGTCTCTTAAAAATATAGTACATTACTAGTCGAAAATTTAGGAAACTGGACTTACGCATGTGTGAAACAATCACTGGGAATGGCATTAGACCGATGAGCGAGTCATTCGTCTCGGTTTTTGGGCAATCTTCAAAGCAAATAAATTAAACTCTGCTGCTCCAAAGACCGGGTCTTCATTAGTTATCTCAGTGATGAGTTATGCCGCATACACAATTACGCGGCCCCTATCTGAGAATATGAAATATGCGATCACCCATTCGTCCAGCCGCCGAGGTAGGTAAGCGTTATCCCAGCAGAGTACAAGCTACAGAATTAACATAAACCAATAATTTCCCCAATTTTGGTTACCGAAAACCTAATCAAGTTATTGAGGGTACCAGGATGGCTGAAGAAGAACGTAAAATTGACGCAATCACTTCCGCTTAACTAATGCGAAGCAGACGATTGAGCAAATTGCGTCCCTATTCACTGGAAAAGTTTTCCATACTATATGCTAACCCATTCCACAACATTCGTTAGAGTAAATATATTAAAGAAAGCACAACACCGGATATTCCACTTGTGTTGGCATATCTGCATTAGTGTGGCAAATCAGTTTACTAAGACTCTTTTACTGGTAATATTTACCACCACACATAACTCTAAAACTCACGGAAGCGTCCAACATAGCAGTTTCGCAAGACTCATTGTTCGTTATGCCATAGGAATACGTGATTACAAACTAAAACTACGTGGCTCTAGACCAGACCACACTGGTGGCTACCGTGAAAGGTCGGTTGTTTCGCAGCGTAATCTAAATATTAAACGAAGAATCCACGCAGATTTCTTCTTCACACATTTCAAGTAGCAGGAAGTAATATCATATAAACAGGATACGCTAAAATCAGGTAGTCCGAGTATTCATGTCAGCTGTTTACATACACTCGGGGGAATTATTCCGTTGCTTGCAAGAGGAAGCGGTGTGCATTTTGATTCAGTTTAAGTGGAAATGATCAATAAACAAGATAAGACTAGGCCGGTTGTAATCTCAGTCCTATTGTGTAATTATTGCTCCACATAAGGTTATAGTCTGCTCCCCCATACGTAACCGAAAAATGACTATTCTAACGGTCTGGTACGAAACATTATTCGTCTTAACTGATTATTGTATTCAGCGACATCACGTGCTCCGTGTACTTTTATGCAGACCTTAAGCATGAAATCGAGTTGGCAGCTACGTTAGGTTATACAGAAGGAAATGGTTCATTGAGCATCAATGAAAATCGTACTCACCAGCAATCGCGTCCCCGATGGCTAAACACAAACAAGCAGTCCCGTCCAACACAGCGAGCAGAAGCCAACGCTTTGCCGGTTGCCTTCCATTGCAACGCATCTCTGTGTCATTTGACCCTTCATTATCTTCTGTGATGTCTACCGCGCAGACAGACAGCTGTGCTATTGCAGAAAGCAGTCCGCCGGAGAGAACTCCTTCGAACAGTGTTGGTAGTATCAGCGCCCAGGCATTGAAGGAGAACATCACAATAATGGCTGTGAGCGAAACGAATGAAATGTGTTCATGAAGCAACAAAATGAATGAACTGATTGCTAAACACGGGTTTATAGAGCTTTAGTTTTTAGACATAGCAACCGGATTTCGTGTAATTTAGCCTATCAAACATCAGACAACCTTTTACGAGTGCTCAAGGTTAATCGCATTCGCAATGAACAATTCGTGAGCTCTCTCCCGTTAGTGGGCGGAAGCGGTCGTGGGGCCGACATAATAATACACCATTTTAGCAATAAGATTGCACATGTAAGCGTACAGAACTGTTTCATAAATATTACAATGAAACAATGGATTAACCACGAGCAACAAATAAATGCCTAGCATTTCCTGTAGATATATGGTGACGAAAATGAATTTGTCATAATAAAGGCTGCGAGTGTTGCCAGACTTGCATATGTAACGACTTTCAATTTAATTAACAGGTTGAGACGCGACAGAAATCGGAAGCGTATTCCATTCAGACTGCATTCCCACTGGTTAAACAAAGTTAAACAAAGTGGCTAACTTCAGTGGTGCTATCTTAGTCAGCTGCTGTGACTATGTCTCAGAAAATGTCGTCATGGAACCTTGAAAAATCCAGAAAAGTTGATAAACCAATGTAAGCTCGTCAATAGACGATCCTGTGCACTAAAAATAATCCTCAAGTCTTCAGTCTAACTAGATGGATGTTGTAAGTTACTACCATGTTTAGTCACCCTTTCTTGTAGAATCCCAGAAACAGCAACGTTACTCGTTCTTCATGTATGCCAGATCGTTCTTGTTCAACATACTGCGGAAGAAAACAACATGTAAGTTTACAACGAGTTTACGCCATCATTCACAGAATGCGTTGACTTGCATTTAGGGAACTTCACTATTATCGATTATTGTTTTTATTGGCCTAATTAATTAGCAGAGTTTCTGTGATTAGCAGCCGGGATTCTGACTGATTAGAGGAAGTTGTCTTATGTCATTGATCCCAGTTGCCAAAACAGTTTCTCAGAATTGTGTACGGATTTTGTGAGTGCCTAACTGCAAACACTGTCAAAATTCCTCAAATGTCCATTCCGTTGTGGTACCACATTCAGCACCGTTGCAATAACTGGAATTACGACACCTAATTTTGTCGTGCACAACTTAAACGATCACACTGTTTTCTAGCGATAAATGCTGAAAGCATGTGTGAACGATAGAAAAAATTAGAAACAGTTGAGTTGGGATCATACGCAGCCAAACTCATTTCTGTGCTTTTGCATCGGATACTATTCCTGTTTACCTAACCTATGTTGGGTCTTCATAAACTAAAACATGTGACAACGCTAATACAACATTTAATGATAGATATTTAGAATGACGACCATCACTGAGCTTAGCCAACTGTCATTGCAGAATAACAGAGTCGGTTGTAATGAGTGGTTCGTCGAATGGATCAGTGGAAGGCAAAATTGGCCTAATTGCCGGTTTAATCGGATTTACAGTAGGAAAGCGATTTCTCGAACATGTGCATATATACGGATTGGAGCGATATATATGTATATATATGCCCCCAGACGGGTATATATAACTTATCCTGACTAGACTTGACTGGAAAACGTCGTTGCTACTGAGTTGACAAGGATTCCCGTGTCACCGAATTGCAAACAATGTTGCAATAAGTTGCTGAAGTTATTTACAGCCTGAGCTAACGCTAAAGACTTGTCTAGAGAATAGGGCTGTTACGTAACAGGTTGTTAACAGAAAATCGATTGAATATGGACGAAAACGGAGAACTGAGATTAACGAATAGTTGTTTTTGCATGCACAGCATAGGCTGCATTCGACTAATCGCGATAGCCTCAGTAAAACGAAAATATTGCGTATTAGTGCCGCAGCAAAATTTTGAATGCGAGCCGGATACGGTGAGCAGTGTTTACCCATGGAGGATGCCGGTGGCTTACGCAGACAGGACTGAGGTGGATAAGGCTGTTGGTTTATCCCACACAGGATCCACTTCGGTACGTGTTCCTCCATCCTGGGAGACTATACTCTACCGGTTCTGCCAATGTAAATGACTCTTCATTTACATTTGAACTGGTATACACAATGGGAGCTGGCACCGAATGGCAGAGTATGCTTCGCATGGGATACTGGGATTACACTGGTTCAGCTGATGACGAAGACCTTGGCAGCATAGCAGGTCGTATGCGCAGTAGCGGTCAAACGCTTGGTGGTCCTTAACGTGGCGAAATCACCCTTGAAAGGTAATTCGATATAAACATTATTCTTGGTTGCTTCCCCCATCAAGTCTTCTGGTCTTCGTGGTTGGCTGTGCTTCTCTATCAACTTTTGAGGATAACCGCTTGACATCATTGTAGCTGTAATTCGCTCCCACTCATTAGTTAAACATTCTGCCGAGCATAGTCATCTTGCACGACCAAATAAGGTCTCCACAAGTGTCCGCTTGTACCGCATTTGGGTAAAGCTTTTGAAATGCAGGTACTGAACGGACCATGTTGCATTTCGGTAGAAGCTCATAACGTGTCCGTTATCTCTGCGACTGATGAGAGGATTCAAGAATGGCAGACAATTTCTCATGCTAACTCGCAGGTGACGCGCAAGTTGGCTTGTGCACTGTTGAAGCGCTTCAACCAAACGAGTGATATGCTGCTCTGATGGACAGAAACCTAAAATGTCAGCCACAGAGCGCTACTAGTATGGCAGCTTGTCTAGCTCCGTGGACATCCTTTTCTCGAACATGAGCATAAAGTAATCAGCCAGTAAAATGCCCAGAGGGCTGTCCATTGCCACCCCATCGACTTGGCGGCATGGCGTGTTCTGAAAGTGTAAACCAACATTCTATGTGCACAGCAGCAAGGAATCCCTCAGGAAATCAGCCGGAATCGGCAATGAATAGCTAGAGTGTTCAGCTAGTTCGCACACATAATCCACAGTCTCATGTAGAGGAACGTTAGTGAAAAGATAGTCTACATCCAGGGAACACATGATCATGTCTGACAGGTTGATCTCAACGAAGTCCTCAATGAGTTGAAATGAGTGTTTTGGACTGTACTTGTTGACTAACTGCCTCAGTGGAGTAAGAACCGTCACCAGCCAGCGAGCTAGTTTATGCTGGGGCGCATTCACCATCGAAAGAATCGGCCGGATGGGCACTCCACTCTTGTGTGTTTTCGTCAGCCCATACAGCTGTGGAGTAACTGAGCCACTGGTCGTTACACTGGCAATAGTAGCACTACGTATTACGCGGTGGAGGAGAAGCTTATCAAGATGACAGATAACGCGGGTCCCGACCTCAGCTAAATCTTCTACCTTCTTAAGCCGTTGGAATTTGCTTGTCTCATTGAGTATTATGCCCAATTTTGCAGGTAATCTGGCTTTTTCATAAGTAGCGCCCCCGCAGTCTTATCCGGTTTCAGTACAACCACGTCTTTGGCACGTAGTGCACGCAGTGCTTGAAGATACCGGATTGTGAGCGCACATTTTCATTTATTGGCGCTGTTTTGCACTCGTAGACGATATCAGTTAACTTGATCCTAATCCAGGTTTGCTTTTCAAGGCTGATAGGTTGAAGCTCCTTGCAATGATCATAAAGTTCTCAAAGTAGGCTTCAATGAATAATCCATTTGGTCTTCTAGGCGGAACTTTGTAATCGAGTTCAAATGACAGTGCCTCTAGTTGCAGGGTGTCAAGCTGGACAACAGTCCTTCCTGTGCTATTCAAAGTCGTGAAGTCTATTTTAGTCGAAACACATATGTATTATTTGGGTCTCGACTCCTACATTAAGACCCATTTAGAATATGATAGCTACGCGTGGCAGCCATGGCACAAGCAAGACATCATCGTACTTGAAATGCCACAACGAAGTGCGACCAAGAATGATGAGGACCTGTTTCATCTCCCTTAACAACTAATGATGAAAAACCTTGGGGCCTACAGCGGACAATATCGTCGCTTGCGTGGCAGTTTGATAATAGCATAGTTCATCCTGATGAAATCGAACCATGCTTGTCATCGTCTTCTGAAGCTGGATGATAATACCACACTTATAGGTCCCCAGCAAAAGGTTGGCCGCAAGGTATAGTTGGTTGGAATGCAGCTGGAATTTATTTCCGCTTCGTGTATGTCGAACAGGGAACGCCCTCCCTACTTACGTTGTCTCTTCTCCCACATTAACAGTATGCAAAAGACGTGTCGCTGATACACTCACGCATTTAAATTACGCCATATAACCCGTTATGTCTGGGTGTCAAACTAACACTAGAAAGTAACGTGTTATGTTCGATTCTTGTACTTCATTTATTGAACGCTGCTGCAGTGGAATATCGTAGGAGATACTCAAACTATATTTACGTACCACATCGGTCCAAGAATGCGGCATATGAGTGAGCGATGTAATTTCCACTTATGATATTTTTACATAGATTGGGTGAACCATAACTGTAACCCAAGTTATTTTGTGTATGCCTAGTAAACTCCAATTTCAAACTATTGTTATGGAATAGTTGACGTTTAAACTGACTACTCAGTTATCCTTTTGATTCGCATATTTTTTACTCCAACCATCTTACGGGACCTGTCAAGCATTTGCTTATCTATCCTTGATGAAGTATATATATATATATATATATATATATATATATATATATATATATATGCTGTCGGTAAAGTATGGCACCAGATTTTTTGATGTTAGCCGGTAAAACATTGTCCATTTCTCTCACGATTCCTGATCTTGGACTAAACCACTAGAGGTTGTTCAATTTTGCGGAACAGTCGCAGTATATTGCTGCAAAGGCATGCAAACTAGGATGGCTAATACCAAAATGTTTTGTGTTGAATGAGTCCAAAATCTACCTATATAAAACTCGTATTTATCTCTCGTCAGAATATTGCTCTATTATGTACACCAAGCTGAGAAAAACTCACAGGACTGCAACAGAAAAGGTACAGCGCTGCTTTACAAAGGGCCCAATGAGAAATTCTGGTGATCTTATTATGACCGCTG